CCAAGGAGCCTGCACCCACCACCCCCAAGGAGCAACCTCCCACTACCACCAAGGAGCCTGCACCTACCACCGCCAAGGAACAACCTCCCACCACCCCCAAGGAGTCTGCACCCACCACCCCCAAGAAGCCTGTACCCACTACCAAGGACCCTGAACCTCCCACTCCCAAGGAGTCTACACCCGTCACTCCCAAGGAACCAGCTCCCACCACCCCCAAGGAGCCTGCACCCACCACCATCAAGGAGCCCACACCTACTACCCCCAAGAAGCCTATATCCATCACCCCTAAAGACCCTGTACCTACCACCACCAAGGAACCCTCACCTACTACCCCCAAGGAGCCTGCACCTACCATCCCCAAGGAACCTGCTCCTACCATCCCCAAGGACCCTGCATTTACCACCCCCAAGGAACCTGCTCCTACCACCCCCAAAGAGCCTGCACCTACCACCCCCAAGGAGCCCATACCTACCACCCCCAAGGATCCTGTTCCAGATACCCCCAAGAAGCCCATACCCACCACCCCCAAGGAACCTGCACCCACCACTCCCAAGGCACTGGCTCCTACCACCCCCAAGGAGCCTGCTCCAACTACTCCTGAGACACCTGCTCCAACCACCTCAGAGGCTTCTACTTCAACTACCACCATGGAGCCTCCCACTACCCCCGAGATCCCTCCTGAATCAACTCCTGAGTTCTCCGCAGGACCGACACCAAAGCCTCCTGAAAACAGTCCCAAGAATCCTGCTGTACCTACAACTAAGACTCCTGAAGTGACCAAACCCAAAATGACTACAACAGCTCAAGACAAGACACCAGAAAAAGACATACATACTGTGCCCGAAATTACAACAGCTGTACCTAAGATTACAACAAAAGAGACAGAAACTACAAGAGAAGAAACAACTGAATCCAAAACAAGTACAACCACACAGCTAACATCTACCACAACTCAAGATACCGCATCAATCAAAATTACTACTCTTAAAGCAACAACTCTTGCACCCAAAGTAACTACTGCAACAAAAAAGACAACTACTACAACTGAGACTATGAAAAAACCCGAAGAAACAGCTAAACCAAAAGATACAACTACTAATTCTAAAGCGACAACTCCTAAACCCCAAAAGCCAACTAAAGCACCCAAAAAGCCCACTTCTACCAAAAAACCGAGACCAACAGCTAGAGTGAGAAAACCAAAGACAACGCCAACTCCTCCAAAGATGACTACAACAATGCCTGAATTGAACCCCACATCTTTAGCAGAAAGCAGGCTCCAAACCGCCACCAGCCCTAACCAAGCTCCAAACTCAGAAATAGTTGAAGTATATCCAGAGAATGAAGATGCAGATGGTGCTGAAGGAGAAAAACTTCACCTGATACCCAGGCCCCCGGTGTTAGTTCCTATAGTTATTCCGGGCATTGATTACTCAGTGAGAGGACCCAATCAAGGCATTGTCATCAACCCTATGCTTTCAGGTAATAAGAATCACTTTCATTTTTAAAACTAGTAATGTTAATTTACATCTATCTTAACCAGAATGCCCTGATTTTGGATCACTCTACTAAGACATATTACCTAGAACCCAGACCTTATTAACTTGTGAAGTTTTACAGTTCCCCTGTAGGTCAGAAGAAGAACAATCATAGTAAGCTTATTCAGTCTTTAGGAAACTGAGTAATAATCTAGGGCTAGGAATTTAGTGTATCTGTGTCTGCAAGAAGCAGAGATGGTACTATCAAAAAAATTTGTAGTATTCTTCTCGAAACCAACCCAAAGGGCAATCAGAACTGAAAAATGGAATTGCACATTGAGTTCATACATCCAATAAATGTCATTTACCTGAAGATCAAGGTAACCTGGCCCATTTCAATTCATAATAATTTATTTTATATATATTTTTGAATAGTATCACCTTTAAGTACAAGGGAATTATGAAGTATATCACTTCTTTCACCTCTGAAATGCAAACATCTCAAACTGTGCCCTTCAAGATTTTAGAACAGGGTAAACAGGAAGTGGAACCCTGTGGGAGGACTTGAAAAGAACATACTTTTCTCATTCAGCTCTATCTTTGTTTTATTGTTAATTTGTCAGACGAGACCAATTTATGCAACGGCAAGCCAGTAGATGGACTGACTACTTTGCGCAATGGGACATTAGTTGCATTCCGAGGTGATGTATACATTTCTCTTTCTTCCCACCATTTTGTTTTGGCATTTATGAGAACCAAAGCCATGGAAGAGTTTGGGCCGAGCTTTCTGGAGGGGGACCTGATTGATAAATTGACCTCACACAATGACAACCTGAGAGTAATAACCGAAATATTGGATTAGCAAATTAGACAAATTAAAGTAACCAAAGACCCTAAATTGATACTACAGAGGTTTTTCTCCTACTGTTAGGATTTAAAAGGTAGTTCAAATTTTAATTTCATATCAAATGAAATGATATAAGAATTTGTATTCCCTGTTTTATTTTATTTGAAAGTATTACCTAAGTTGTGATGTGTTCAAGAGTGTTACATTCTCTGTGGGAGAGTAACAGGAGAAAAGCCGTTATTTCATGTTAATTTTCTACTAGTCCAGTCTTCTTAAAATATATTTAGATTACATCTGAAAAAATGCTCACACAGTAAATACTCTGAAGAGATTTTCGTAGTCATTAAGTTGTAACTCCTTAATTCTAAAAGAAAAAGCCAAAAGGCTCTTTCTAGATAAAAACTGGAAAACTAAGATATCTCAAAGGTTATGCTAGATAGATTTCTCTGGACTTGAGAAATACCTACTCTCAGAAATGTTCAAATACTACCTTTTGTAACTGCCTAAACTTCCAGTCATACAATGCATAATATAATCCGTTTTTCTTTATAATAACCATTTAAAATTTTTTCATTTTGGTTTCTTTTGGAATTGGTTTAATATCCAGCTTATAGGTTGATGTCTCTCTTTAAATTTTAGGTCATTATTTCTGGATGCTGAGTCCATTCAGTCCCCCACCTCCAGCTCGCAGAATTACTGAAGTTTGGGGTATTCCTTCCCCCATTGATACTGTTTTTACTAGATGCAACTGTGAAGGAAAAACTTTCTTCTTTAAGGTAACAAAAATATCTTTATGAGAGAAGTCAGCAAACAGTAGTTGCATTGTTTATTACGACAACATAAATCACTTTACCTTCCAATTCAGAAGTGTTTTCACATTTTAATGAATTACTCTATAATCAAAATTTAATCATAAATACTTAATTTGATAACATTAATGGTCAACATATTACAACATTTAAATAACGTTAACACTTTCTTCCTACACTTAAATCTAAAAATGAGTTACTAACCTTTTTCAAAGCTGTTAACATCATTTTCTCTTTTAAATGATCAGGATTCTCAGTACTGGCGTTTCACCAATGATGTAAAAGATGCAGGGTATCCCAAGCAAATTGTGAAAGGATTTGGAGGACTAAATGGGAAAATAGTGGCAGCTCTTTCAATAGCTAAATACAAGAACAGGCCTGAATCTGTGTATTTTTTCAAGAGAGGTATGTGTTACATAATTGACTAAATTACAAAACTTTTAAAGAATTGATTTTTATTTAATTTTTTCATGTATTACTGGGTTTACTGTCAAAAGATATCTTTAATGGCTGGAATCAAATATTTTCAATGAAAAAATCAAAATTGAAGGTTGGAATAAGTATTTAGATCTCTTGACATGTTCATCTGAGTTTTCAGGTCACTGATGGAATGTCATCGTTTACCTTCAATTAAAGTTAAATATATAACTGCAATTTGTTGCATTTATGCATTCGGCAAGTATTTCAGGGTAATTATTTTTAATACCCTTGATTAATAGCCATTATTAATATCTAGACATATTTTATGAAAAACAAGAAAATATTGATCATTTTTTTCCACTTTGTAAAAGTTCTTTTCTATTTGAGAGGGTTAAAATCAATTTTCATATTCTATGTGACTTTCTCACACATAACAGGGGGCAGCATTCAGCAGTACACTTATAAACAGGAACCTGTCAGTAAGTGCCCTGGAAGAAGGCCTGCTATAAATTATCCAGTGTACGGAGAAACGACACAGGTTAGGAGACGTCGCTTTGAGCGGGCTATAGGACCTTCTCAAATACACACCATCAGAATTCACTATTCACCAGTCAGAGTTCCTTATCAAGACAAAGGTAAGATTTTTATTGTGTTAAAAATTCTTAAACATAAAGTATATGTAATATAGTTTCTTATAGAGTAAGGCTTATTAAATATAAATACTGACCAAATAGCCCTAATAATTTAAGATTATTTATGCAAAACACATCAAGTTGCCTTACTAAATAAACAGAGCAATACTTTTTCTTTGTGGGTAAGGAAAGCAGTTTATTCAGGTTTGTTAATTGTAACAAATACTATTTATCAAGCACTTCTTACCAAGAACATTATATACAAATCTGTAGCCCTCAACAGTTCTAAAAGGTAGCTCTCAGTGCTGTATCAGAGGGCAAAAACTGAAGCACTGAAGTTAAATAACTTACCCAAGGAACAGCTACTAAGTGAATAAACTGAGATTAAAACCCAGGTCTGTCTGGCTCTTTCCAAGATACTATATTGCCTTTTGATACCTTTTATTAAAAATGTCATCTGCAGGTTTCCTTCATAATGAAGTTAAAGTGAGCACACTGTGGAGAGGATTTCCAACTATGGTTACCTCAGCTATATCATTACCCAATATCAGAAAACCTGACGGCTACGACTATTATGCCTTTTCTAAGGGTAAGTCATCACAGTGTAACTTTGATAGCTTCTTGAGGAGGTGATATCACTTGTGAAAATCTGAATATAATCGCAGCAAAAACACCAACTGTGCAATGGTGACCGAAAGTGAGAATTTAAACTATATATTTTTCTAATTGCTGTGAAAAAGAAAGGTTTTTTTAGGTTTTTGCTTGAATTTCAATTAAACTGAATGGTCTTGCCATTTGATTCTGCTCTAACCTTCATGAAATTATAATAAAACATCCAACTACTTGAGTAAAACTGCTACTGAAAACAGTATTTTACTTCTATCATCTGTGGCATTTAATAGATACCTTGTACGCCACAAAATTTTATTGATTTGCATCAATACACAGTCTATGAGATCAGAAAGAAGTTCCTGAGAAATTAATTTTATTAATTAAATTGTATTATCCAGACATTTTTTTTTCAAAAGTCCAGCAATCTAAGTTATTCTTCCTGTGATTCCATAATATGAATGGCATCAGAATGTACTGTTAAAAAAGGATAAACTCAAGTGAATTATTTTTCAGACTAATTCAGTTATTTTTTCAATGCTTACTTCAAAAAGGACAGTTGAACCAAATTTTACTGGAAGGTGTTGAAAGGTCAAAAAAGCTGCAAGGTAGAAAGTTCAAAGCAATTGTTTTTTTTTTTTCAGTTCAAATTAATTAATAAAAACATTTCTGATATTAAAATCTGATATTAAACAGTATCTTTGAGCATAATAATCAACACAAATTATTTTTGAGTTTCGAGTGTTCTATTTTCCTTTTAATTAAAAAAATGATTTCTCTTCCATTTAGATCAATACTATGACATCGATGTGCCTAGCAGAACAGCACGAGCGATTACTACTCGGTCTGGGCAGACCCTATCCAAAGTCTGGTACAACTGTCCTTAAACTGATGGGCAAAGGAAGAGTCAACTAATTAAAATGAAGAAAATAAACTTTGACACTGAAATACATTTTATTAATAAAGAATGTTGAGATAAGCATACCAATTTAAATATAAAAATGTTTGTAAATGCGACAATCATTACACTAAAACAGATGACAATCTTATTCAGTAAGAATGTTGAGATAAGCATACCAATTTAAATATAAAAATGTTTGTAAATGCGACAATCATTACACTAAAACAGACGACAATCTTATTCAGTTATTTTATAGAGCATTTAATTAATATTTCCTCTATTTATTCCTCCTCTACCTCCCATTGCATGGCTCACACCTGTAAGAGAAAAAAATAGAATAAAATTGAATGCGTCTTTAAGACAGCTCAAAAACTAGGTTATTCACTTACTCTAGTAAGTTCTTTGAGAGATTATTTTCAATGTGAAATATCTAGGCACTGTGGATATGAAACAGATATTCCACATTCTTAATGGAAATCATTACAACAATCAGATTGTTAAAATTTTAAATTCTTTTTACTAACTAAAACAAAGTCATAAATTTCATTCTGTTGTATAAAAAATATTTAACAATACAATGACAATAGGTAGAGATATAACAAATGAATATAGCACTATAACACTTTAGATTTTCCAAATCTTAATTTGGATTTAAGAAATCAATATATAAACTATAAATACATATTTATTATATACCTATGGTATATAAATCTGTCTACAAGAAGCTTACAAATTAGTAAATATCACATGTTCCACATATAATTATTTAATCAATCCTTGGAATATTTGAAAAATTAAATGGGAAGCTTAAGGATTAGAAAACATGTTTCATTTATTACTATCCCACATTCTATTATGTAATCAGTACATTAGAAATTTACCTCTCTGTCTGTTAAACTGACGACCACGGACACCTTGTCTCAATGTTGTCTGAAGTCTTACTCGTCTGAAAGGCTTTGGTTGACTACTGCTAGTATCTAAGAAAAACATTAAGATACAAGAAAAGCAAGTTAAAACAAGAAGCGCTTATAATGACACAAACTAATTACTAAATGAATGTATCAATAACATGTAGACATGTCCATTTACATTCAATATTGTTTTTTTTTTAACAATGAGAACACATTTAACAAACCGAAAGAGGGTAAATGGTGGAAAAAAAATCCTTATTTGAAAAAAAAAGTGCCTCACTTTTTTCATTCATTCACTCAACCAATTTAATAAATATTTACACGGTGACTACTCATGTATCAGACATGGTGCTAGGTGCTGGGAAATACAATGTAAAACAAATTATCAGGTCCCTTAGCAAATAGCCCAATACAACAGAACATGAATCATATCTGATACTTTTGTTTTGGACACTCCAAATCTAATCATTAGCAAATCCTACAGGCTCAAATTTAAATATACATTCCAAATCTGACCACTTGTCACAATCTTAACTCTACCATCTGCCTAAGCCATCACCATCTTTACCTTGAGTTACCGTAATAGCCTCTAAACCTTTTCCTTGTTTCTGTCCATTACTTATTTTTCATCTCTTCTTTACACAGCAGCCAAACCATACTGTTAAGCCTTTAAGTCAGATCATGTCATTACTCTGCTTGAAACCCTCCAATAGCCTCCTACACCCATGAAAGCCAAGGCAATTACAATGATCTATTTGATCTATCTTCTCCCACCGCCAACTTTTCATCTGAAGGTTCCATGGTAGAGTTTGAGAATCATTACTGTAAACAATTTAAAATGAAAATAATCAGAGTGAATAACTGAGTACTGTATTTCCTCAATAATAAAGGTAATTTCCTGCCTAAAAATTTTGAGATAGATAAGCTAGTATGGTATATTGTTTAAGAGTAGAGTCTCTGGAGCCAAACTTCATTTTGCATCTTGGCTTGTCCATTATTTACTAGTTATTTGACCTTGAAGATGTTATTCTCCCTTTCTGCACCTCAGTCTCAACATCTATAAAATAGGGATGAGTATCTACCACACTGAGTTGTGAGAATCAAAAGAGTAAATATACGTAAAGGGCTTAGAATATTGCCTGATACACAGAAAGTGCTCAAAAAATGCTAGCTGTTATTATATAAAAGAATAACTTTTATTACAGGAAACATATATAATATCTTTTTAAGAAAAATTAACTTCAAATTTGAAAAGCCAAACTCTGAAACTGGTTACCTCAGTAAACTGCAAACATTTTTTTGAAGCAACAGAGCTTCTACCCTTCAGCCCTCCACATCAAACCTCATGCAGGACCCCAGTATGTTGAACAACCAAAAATAGAGCTGCTCTGGGTTCAAACAGAGGCAAGACGCCTGGCGTACTTACCCCTCCTTAGCTTCCCTCCCCATATGCTCATCCCCTCCAACCCCGGTAGTACCTCTAAGAGACCCAAGAACTCTACTGAACAGTATGTTGAGAACCACTTGTCTAGATGAAACATTAAGAACTATTCTTTTGGGATGGATCTACCATATCCGTATTTCTGGTATCACCATCAGAATATTCTTAGAATAGTGACTTCAGTATAAACCAAGTTCCCTTTAATTGCAAAGTTTCCCTTCTAAATAAAGCACTTTAAAGTACAGAAAAAAAAGGACATGGATTTGTTACTAATATAACAAATGTTTTCGCAAACAAATTTGATGTATCAAATTTTTACTGTAGTCAAGAGCAGGAACTTACCTACAGAGGAGCTGGAAGGAGGATCCTGGCTGGTCGAAGGGAGATCTGACTCGTCAGATACCTGAACAGGCTCTTCTTCCTGCTGGCTGTCAATTTCTAGGCCTGCTTCTGAACTAATACTAAGGAAAACAAAAATTGATTAGAAAATACAAAACTGATTCTAGAATGTATCCTAAATTATTTCCAAACTCTTTTTGATCTCGTTTATCACTTAAATCATCCAAAACGCCCCTTAAACTAAAAATTGCAGACTCTGATATTGGTAACCATACATATTTTTTAAAGGGGCACGGAAGAAAAGAGGTCAAGTTATTTTTTCCTCATTCCTTTTCTCACCAGGACATGTTCCAATCTGAGTTTTTGTTTTTCCTCTTTTTTTGTTTCCCTCTTTCCTTTTGACAAGGATTCCACATTCTTGACATTCACAGGAAATATACTGTCCAGATTGTCATAAATTCCAAAACTTTTTAGGAGAACAGAGTATTACAATAATTCAAATTAGTCACACTACTAATAGTATACCAGTAACTCCCCATGGGCTTCTAGCCCAGTTGAGACAGGCTTTGGGTATGTGAAACTCGTGGCTCAATGGTTACAACTCCAGCCTTCTTCCACTCCAGAAGCAAGTGAGGGAGATAGTATGAGAATAACATGAATCTGCTCCAGGTTTTTTATTCATTCGCAAACTTCAGTGGTTCTTAGTAATAATTTACCTGAGCAGTATCTCTCAGGACTATAGGCTGAAGTTGAGAAGTGCTGGTGAAATGTAAAGAGCCTGGGGCCAGAGTCAGGGTTTCAAATCCAGTCTGAGCTGGTTGCCAATAGTATAGCCTAAGCAAGTTATTTTAACATGCTGTGAGCCTGAGGTTTTTCACTTGTATAATGGAGATGATACTTTGCAGTGATAGTGTATGAGAGTTAGATATGACATATATAAAGTGATCTGCATACATGGTATGAAATTAATGGCAGCTAATATTCTCAACAGGGTCTTTCACTTCTCCCATTAAGCAGCACTGTGTTAAAGAGTAACAATAGACCTGCTTTTTTCCTTATATACTAGAGTTGGCCTATAATTCCTGTAAGAAAATGTTGCTAAGTAAAATAAAGTTCTTGAGTTCTACCTGGGAAATCTGGGTTCTACTTCTGGCTTCTGATCATGAGGTGGTCTAATTTTTTCATCTTATAAAGAATTAGGTTCCATCTTGAAAGTTAAATTTCTGTAAGATCACTGTCCAATGGCTCTTTCCATTAAATTACACCATTTCCTTTGACTTATTAAAAAGTCCAGAGGACTTGTCACAAAATACTTTTGCTAAACTTTATAACTGATGTGTTAAAAAATGTAGTCATGTCTTGAAAACTACTAGAAAAATCTAATTTTTATGAAGCCAGTATTTCAGGCATCAAAGTCTAAATGCACACAAATAAAGAATGAGGATCCCTTGAGAGCCCACTGCTAAATGGAAAGTGAGTCATTTCCTAATATTCCTAATTTTCACAGAGAGGCTTCTTTCTTAGGGAAAAGTTCAAGCAGCTATGTTAATGGAAAGGTACCAATACTTTTAAAGAAATACTCTGATCTAGAATGTATCATACAATTTTCATGGAGATAGTAGTTTTAAAAATTATTTATCTTCTATACTAATCTTCAAGTTCTAAAATATATTATTATATGCAAAATAGTCTTTCAAAGCATATGGTTTGGCTTATTATTTTTTGGTGGGATGCTATTGAAAGTGAGCTCAACAGATTTTTCCCAGCTAAAGGAAAACAAATATAAAATCCAATGAGTTTAAAGCAGGCAAAAATTGTAAAATAAATTACCCTTCGGATTCTGCCTCCACAAATACTTCATCTCCATCATCACCTGTTGCTGTTTCATTTGTTGTAGACAAAGTGCCAGTGGATGTTGTCACCATTGGAACAGACTGAGAGGCATGCTCTGAAGCATCAGAGGTGGTACTCTCAGTAAATACAGTCACTTTAAAAGGAAAAAACAATAAAAAAATTAAAACTAACTTTGTGGATTATAACATTTTTAGCCAGAAGATATTTTATAGGTTTCCATTTTACTTTCATAATTAAGACACGAAATTTGCTAATCTGCCTTCGACACCTACCTGGGGCTGCTACTTGTAGAGGAGTAGTGGGAACACTTCGGCCACCTGACTCTTCTTCATGCGCAAGGAAGAGGGGTGTTTCATACATTCCTAAACCTAAAGACAATTCTGAATATTAATGAATGACTGAAAGAACATAAAATTGTCAATATGTCAGGTATCTGAAAGAAAAACATTAATTAGTGGAGACACACAATTTTGCTGAAGCCTGCAATTTAATTATTCCATCAAGCAAAAATCAATCTCTCAAATTTTAAATACA